AATTATTATAATTAGTATTCATGTGTGTTGATATGTCAAAATTGATATGCTTTGTGGTTGCAACATTATATCAGTGTAACATAGGGGAATATTGTGCCATACTATCACATTTGAAATTTGCCATGGCCACTCCCCAGTTATTAATAGGTATGGTGCTTTGACTTCTCTCTTTCTTTTATGCTACATATGACATGATCACCCTACTTCCAAATCATCATCTAGGCTGCTGCATTACTTATTATATTGTTTATACTGCACTATTTATGCATGTAAGGCCCAAATATCCTAAGGCACCAGATCCTGTCAGATCTTGGAAGCTAATCAGGATCAGTCCTGGTTAGTATTTGGATTGGAGATGCCAGTGAATACCGGATGTTGTAGGCTATTCGTATTCCAACAGGAAGAAACTGGCAAAACCACCTGTGAGTATTCTTTGTCTAAGAAAATCTTATGAATTCATGGGGTTGCCATAAATCAACAGATTATTTCAAGGCACATAAACACATACACACACATTCATTTATACAGTCCTGTTCAGTAATGTAACCAAAGAAGGGTAGGTCCCATTTCCAAGGAGTTTATAATCTACATTTTGACATTGATGACAAAGATTAGGAAGAAGCAAATAGAGAAAATGGAGGATGTAACATAGAAGGATAACAAGTGATGGTGTGAGATGCAGTTCACTGTTCATATCAGAAGGAAAGCACAAATACTAGTGTGTTGGGTTGTTTTTTTACACCTAATATTTTCCCATTTCATTTATCACTAGAATAATCAATGGCTAATAACTCATTTACCTTTGGTGCTAATGTTTAGTATTCAACATTGAGGGTTGTTTCTTATTTTATGGGACTCTTTGCATCACTTTTATCATCTGCTTCCCTTTTTATACTAATGGTTCTATCTATCAGTTTCAGCATAATAGTGCGAGTATATGCTCCTCCTAACTGGATGAATGAGTACAGTAAGATGGATGTGTTTGTGCTGCTTATCAAATATGGAAACAAATGAGAAGGAATGAAATGGGCACCAGTGTGCCATCATGGAGGTTAGTTCACCTGAATGTGCTGAACAGTCAGCAAATAATATTTTATAGCAGTTTCCTAAAGAGGAATACTAAATCCTGGGGGAAAGTAGATAGTATAAGGTAGGATAGAGAGAAGTCAATGAAGTCAGTATGAAAAGGAAGGGAATTTGAGATGCCCAATAGTCTCACAGCACTATGAAGGTAAATGAAAATATTTGAGAATGGGAGGCTACTGCAATAAAGAGATGGAAAGCAAGGTACATAAACACATTCAGACAGTTTGCCTTGTGTAGTATGGTGATAGCGAAGAGCAATTGGCCTGGTACTCTAGCTTACATGGTTTAATGTAAGTTTACATGGTTATATTAGGAATGGGAATGCAAAAAATCTTGTTGCAGAACATTTCAGTCTTCCTGGGCAATCCACCTCTGATCTCAGGACAACGGCCCTTTAACAACAACAGCAACAACAAAACTACAAAGGAAGATTAGAAAGAACAACAGCTGAATTACAATATATTCACAACTCCAGTCCATCAAAACTGGGTTGAACAAAGACAATGGCTTCCTGGCACACAGCATTTATTATAAAACTGGATGCTCTTAACTAGTTTAATGTATATTGACCAGGAGCCCTGGTTGTGCAGTGGTCAAATGCCTGTACTGAAGCCACTCACTCATAGACCACAAGGTTGCGAGTTCAATACTAGCCAGGGCTCAGGCTAGACTCAGGCCTGTATCCTTCCGAGGTCGCTAAAATGAGTACCCAGCTTGTTGGGGGGCAATGAGCTTATAGTTGTAAACCACTTAGACACCCTATAGTGTGGTATGAAGCAGTATATAAATGAAGCTGCTTTGCTTTGCTTACATTCCAAAATTTCCTCCAGGATTATATGGACATCCACCCATCTTGGCCTTGGGCAACATTTGTCTCTCAATGAGCACAGTTAAAATGGAACTTGTCACCTCATCACCATACTCCCACATTTTGCATCTCCATGGGTATTCATACAGTTTATAAAGGTCTTTCCTGGGCACCAGTTCACCCTATGCATCTAAGGAAGTAGACCAAGTCTATGAAAGCTACAACTTCTCTTGCAGAATCTCAAAGGTGCTACAAGATTTCTTTGCTTACATAATGTAAGTAAGGAACCATTTTTTCAAGATGTTAGAGCTACCTCTACTGTAATTATAAGGCCATTTATCTATTTATTTGAAATATTTATATACGGTCTATCTACTGGAGCACAATGGTTAAATACCAGTATTGCAGCAACAAGGTTGTGAGTTCGATCTTGAGAGTCTCCCAGGTTCACTCAGCCTTTCAACCTTTTGTGGGTCAGTAAAATGAGTACCCAGCTTGTTGAGGGCAATTAGCTTACAGATTGTAAACTGCTTAGAGAGTGCCGAGTTCACTGATAAATGGTGTACAAATGTACATGCTATTGCTATATTGCCTTCACTGTTGTGTGGATACTTAGTAAAAGCTCTGTATTAAATACCCAGGAGTTCTTATAATCTGATAGGTATGAGGGGAGGAATGTATGGGTCTCCAGATTTAGTTGGACTACATCTCTCATTACCACTTGCCATCATAGCCAGTGGATAAGGGGTGATGGGAGCTGTAGTCCTGAAAGATCTGGAGAAATATACATTTCCCATCCTCAAGACAGAGGGAAGTAAACAGGCTGTGAACACTACTTTTCCAGGGTCTTAGAAGTGTCCCCTTAGTTACATCCATTGTTGAATGTTCAAACTTCTTTAAACCAAAAATATGATTTAATAAACCAGGATTTGAATAAGCAGCATGCTGGAGGGCACCATCTATTCTCTCCCTCTCTATAAAGAGGAAAACTAAACAGGATGGCATAGCTTCTCATGATACTTAAACCCAGGATGGTGGTTAGTGTACCTAAACAAGCCAATATCATAATCCAGTTTGAAATCATTGTTTGCCTTTGCTTATGAATACCAGTTTATGAATACCAGTTTATTTGGGTAAATGTAACCATAATCCTGGGTTATGTCATGACTAGAAGGCATCCTCTTCCTGGTTAAATTTCTCTTAAGGGGGATGAATGAACTGCTTGTTCATATCCTGGTTTATTAAACTTTGAGGCTAATATGGGCTGGATCTGCATTGCAGAAATAGTGTAGTTTGACACTGCTTTAATTGCCATGTCTCTATGCTATGGAATTCTGGGATTTGTAGTTGTGTGAGATATTTAGCTTTCTTTGTTGGATAGCTCTGGGGCTACAGCAAATGACAAATCCCAGGATGCCATAGGATGAAGCCATGGCAGTTAAAGCATGACAAACTGTATTATTTCTGCAGTGCTAGTACAGCCATGGTGTGTGATAGTGGGTATTGTTTTTTGGAAGCAGTCGCAGTGCTTGAATTAAAGAACATCTATCTTTAAGGAGATGGAGGCTAAAGTTTTAAACAGTAAAGTTCTATGGAATTTGTGGGGAGCTCTCCTTGTGTGTTGGTGTGGCTAGTTATGTATATGCTGGTATTTAAATAAATAAAAATAAATAAAAAATAAAAAAATAAAAATAAAAAAATAAAAACATAAATAAAAAAAACCATAAATTCCTGCTCGGCCTTCCCACCTCTCTCTGTGTGTTTTAATGGCCATTCTGAAAGCCACCCACTATATAGTCACTTTAGGGAACATTCCCTAAAACTCATACTGCGGTAAGCATCAGTTTGATGTAATGAAATTTAAAATAATAATTTCAATCTTAGGTAGAGTCACTCATGCACTTGCTAAAGGCTTTGGTTATGCAGAATCTAGAAATGTACACCCTTCTTTTTAGAAGAGAGACTTTACTGCCCTTGCTAGCATCCAAGCTTGCATGCGTGTGTGTATATGAAGCAGATCTTAGTATGATACATAATCATACTTGTGGGTTTTTTTTGGTCGCTTTCAAAATATAATCACTGCCTACTATTCCACCTAAGATGCCTTAGCCTGAGTATCATCTGGCATATTTAAAAGAGTAGAACTGATGGGTGCATTAACACTTCTTCATTTTTATTTATGCCCAATATGCTCACATAAAAAATAATTTGCATACATATGATTCAAGTTATAGTTTAACTCAGATTGGGTTACATATGGTCTGCAAGGTATCAGGGAGAGAATTGCAGGCTAGCTTCATCTACACAGATACATAGAAGAAAAATGGTAGAAGTGAATATTATCTGCATTTCAATGTGCTCCATATGGGCTCCTCTATTTATACTATAAACATGCTTCAAAAGTTGCATATTTGTCTGGGTCTAAAAAGTAGCCATTATCTGACCTATATGTACAAAGATTTGGAAACACTGGCAATTGCTTCCCATGCCTTTAACTGCTACAAAGCATACCTACATGATTTTATGTATTTCGTTGCCATTTGTCTCTGCTTTAAGACAGCCCAATCAAAATATCACTAAGTGATGTTTATTTAGCAGGGGTTCTATGGAATTGTGTGTTCTAAAATATTATGCTTTACACAACCATGATTTTCTAAACTAAAAGACAATCCATTAATATAATGCATGCCTCTTAAACTAAAAGACAACTTGCAACCATATTAGCTTGGTAACATCAAGAACTTCAATAAGGAGCCAATTCACACAGCAAATATTCTTTTAAAAGAAGCTTCACACTTACTGTATCTTCCAGTATCTTCTCAGCTCTGAACCAACAATCTCTTTTACTGGGGAAAGTGTGAAGGATGCAGAATCTTGTTACTACACCCAGTAGCTCTATATTATGGGGATTATGAAAGGCACACAGGGTTAATACTTGGATGGGAGACTTGTTGTTGCATGCCTACAGGCATTTCCAACTTATGGTGATCCTAAGGCAAACCTATTATGTGGCTTTCTTGGAATGATTTGTTCAGAGGAGGTTTGCCATTGCCTTTGCCTGGGGTTGAGAGCATGTGACTTGCCCAAGGTCACCCAGTGGTTTTCATGGCTGAGCTGGGAATTGAACCCTGTATTCCAGAGTCATAGTCAAAAACTCAAACCACTACACCATGCTGGCTCTTAGGTTGGGAGGCTGCCAACCACGAATGAATTCCAGATGCTTGGTCTTCAGAGTCATAATTTCTTCCCTTCCCTGTTTCCTCCCTTGCTCTTCATTAGTCCTAGATCTTGCTTATCAACAAGGACTTCCTATATGCTCAATACACTTGAAGTATAAGAATTGAGTATTCTTCCCTAATGCTGTTTATGTTCTGAGACTTGGCTAGTCTATACTATCAGATCCTTCCTAGAGTCTGAGCACTCATGATTTCCCTGCCTTGTGACTTCTGCGCTGATGCTCAGACCAGCACTTTAAAAACTTAATATTTAGTTGCAGAAAGCTGTGTATAGGGCCCAAGAGTTAAGTAAAGGGTGAGTTCACTGTGATAAGTTATCTGTTTAAGACTTCCATCTTACTTTGATTGATTTTATGCCTCAGTGTGCATTTAACATGTTTGTCCATAAAATTGATCTTAGGTAAATTGGAAGTTTTGGAAATAATTTAGTGTGCGAAAGGGATTATGTGACATTGGATGTATCCACAATGCAGAAATAAAACAATTTGACACCATTTTCACTGCCACGATTTAATGCTAAGGAACTTTGGGCTTTGTACTTTTGTGAGATATTTAGCTTTCCGTCAGAGACTTCTGGTGCCCCATCAAATTACAAATCCCAGAATTCTATAGCATTGAGCCATGGAAGTTAAAATGGTGCCAAACTGCTTTATTTCTGCCGTGTAGCAGTGGCCGTTGTTTGAGTTTCTCAACCTGTTTAATTTTTATTGAAAGGAAGCTGATTTATAGTGACCTAAAATATATATATCAAGGTTTGCATGTGCCTGTAATAAATGTCTAGATAGTTATTGAACATCATTTTTTAAAGAATTGTTAGTAGGTTTCACTATAATCTGAAAAAATAAGCCAAACAGTGGAAATTATTCATAAAATACAAGTTATGTAGGTTCATAACAGCATTGTTTGTATTTAAATCTGATAGTTTCTGTGCACACAAATCTAGCAAGGGGAAAGTTATATGGTTTTAGGTGGGAGTCAGTGTATTGTACAGATAAGGTCTAGTCTGTTTGCTGCAAAATTACAAGGGCAGCACCCAACAATGATGCTAATTGGGGGTTGGGATATCAAATATATTATTATTATTCAGTTTCAAACATTTTGGGATGGGCCCTGGCTGATCCCTGATTATTGGACTTGAATGTAGGTGTGGAGATATTCAAAGAGTACCTGGGTGTGGAAACTGATTGCGTAGGATCTGGTTTGGATCCTATCTCATTGATGCACCTGCTGGCCAACATCCTTGATCTTCAAATTAGAAGGTTTTTCCCCCCTTATGGTAGTCAGAAGAATGAATAAGAGAGAGATTTTATACCATGTTGCACATTAAGGCTGTAATTGATTAACCTTGGCCTTCTGGCACTTAAATCAATGATATCTCAGTGGAAAGAAACAAGATTTAGTGCAAGAAAAGCAATTTGTTGGTAGATCTCAATGTACAAGATTTTTTTTTTTACCTTTTCTACTACTATTGCTGCTACTACGAAAGTAAGTTCTGTGAAAGAATAATTTTAGCACCTTTTTAGCATCATTGGTTTAAGTGGGAGAGTTAAATACACGGCTAAACTCTTATCTGCTAAAAATAAATTATACTAAAGATAGTTGGAACATGCCAAGAATTAAAATATCAGAGAAATAGAAAAATAGTTCCCAGGAGAAGAGAATCCCCCAGTTACTATTTAAAAATGGTTTGGGCTTATGTAATATGTTTTCATAATACAGATATCCATTCCTTTTTTTTTTTTACAGTGTTACTGTTTAATCATCACTATGTGTGCGTGGGAAAACCCGATAAAAGCAACTCTGTATATGTTACATTCTTTATTGCAGTCACCAGCTCTTCACTTTCATTTCAGTATAAGTAGGACATGTGTTGACTGGAGAGAGTTGCATAAATCACAGCTTTTTCTTTTAAAAAAAGCCTTGTTTTGAGTCATTATCCCTTTCATTCTAATGGAATTCAGCCAGATTTTCTATGACCTTAACACCCAATCATGCACAAGATTAGCCAATCGCTAGCTAATCCTTACTAGCCAAGCCCCACTGGGAGGAAGGAGAAAGACAAAGGGAAGCAGACACATCCAACCAGCTGCTGTTCTCTGCAAGGAAGGATACTGCATGCACTTACCTTCCAAATGAAACACTCAAGTTATCTCAATTGCACATTACAGGATACAAAAAGTACAGCATTTAATTTGTGATCCCCCTGTGATTATCCCTATGCCAGTGAAAGTCTGTTTGACTACACTCTCCTGTATTTTTGACTCTGTTTTTCAAAATATTTGTGGTTCTTAAGAGTGGTGTCACTAGGCTTGATGTCTCCTGGTACAGTAATTCATAGTGTCACTCCTATGGACCTTCTCCTGTACCAATCCATACGCAATCCTTAGTAAATTTTTTTTATACCAGTGTCACTCATAACATCTTAATTCCTGTATGTTACTTCATATAATGGCAATAGTAGTGACAAAAACAACTACTAAAATTAAAAATTACATCTTTAAATTATAATATCACATGCACAGCCTAAATGTGTTTACATTTACATAGTTTCATGTGGTGAAAGTGAAATTTTGGTAAAGAAAAGGAGTAAAAATATTTAAGAAATGAAGAAAATTATGTTCATTTCAACATTAAACTTTACTGTTACATAAGATACATTAATGGACTAGGTTTGCACAATCAATAATGGCCTAAATAATGTAGAAGGTGTAAATAAATGCATATGAAAATATACAAATATGAAGATACTTACCATGTGAAAACAGTTGCTTCGGTTTACGCATAACTTCAATGTTTTGTTTAAAGTTCAAAGTGAAAGTTTAAAAGAAGAGCCTATTGCTCTTTCAGATGCTAACTCCTATTACAAAATGTTACAACAATAAACTGGAGCAAAAGCCATTATTTTCAAGGTTCAACATTTACTGGATATAAGGCTAACAAATAAGTACAATTAGTTTTGATATGATAATCACCTATGATAATGGAAAAACTCAAAAGAAACTATAGCTAGTCTGGAATACTGGAGCAAGAGCACTGAGCAGGGACATTTACAGATTACAGAAGTGTTCTGTTGGAGCAGAACACCTATAACAGGGCCTATAGGTGTTTTATACCTATAACTCCAGCCCTGTAACACTGTCTGATGTTGGGAGCACAGTGTTTGCAAAAGTAGCTCTGTCAGGGTGGGAAGACCTTACATATTAGAAGTTTGTTGTTGTTAACTGCCCTCAAGTCAATCTTGACTCATGGGAATCCTATGGATGAGACATCTCCAAGACACTCTGTCCTCCACTGCTCTGCTTAATTCCTGCAACCCCTTAAGACCCGTGACCTCTAATAAGGTTCATCCATCTCACATGTGGCCTTCTTCTCTTCCTACTTTTCTCCACCTTTCCCAGCATTGTCTTTTCCAATGAGTCCTTCTTTCTCATGATGTGTCCGAAGTATGACAGCCTCAGTTTTGTCATCTTGGCTTCCAGGGAGGTTTCTGGCTTGATCTGCTCTAGGACCCATTTGTTTTAATCCTGTGTCCTTATTTTTAATATTGTATATATATTTTAATAGGGGGTTAATTTTTATTATTATTGTTGTTATTATTATTTAATGCAGTGTACATTTTATTTAAATTGATTTTTATATTATGTGAGCTGCCTTGATTGCTTCGGCAGAAGGCGGGATATAAGAATAAAGTTATCATCATCATCATCATCATTATTGTTCTATTGGCTGTCCATGGGATCCTCAGCACTCTTCTCCAGCACCACATTATCTCAAATGCATTGATTTTCTTCTTAATCATCTTTCTTAACTGTCCAGCTCTCACATCCATACATGGTAATAGGGAATACAATGGCTTGTATGATTCTAACTTTTGTGCTGAGTTGTGTATCTTCACATTTTAAAATCTTTTCTAGTTCTTTCATAGCTACCTTCCCCATTCTTAATCTTCTTCCAATTTCCTGACAGCAGTCCCCATTTCTATCAATGTTTGATCCCAGGTATGAGAATTCTTTTACTATTTCTATTTCCTCATTGTCTAGGTTGAACGTGTGAAGGTCCTCGGTGGTCATTATTTTTGTTTTCTTTATGTTCAACATTAAGCCTGCCTTAGCACTTTCTTCTTGGATCTTTTTTAGTAGGTGTTCTAGGACTGTGAGGTTTTCTGCTAGTATTATGGTGTCATCTGCATATCTTAGATTGTTGATATTCCTTCCTCCTATTTTTACTCCTCCTTCTTCTGTGCCCAAGTCTGCTTTTCTTATATGTTCTGCATACAAATTGAACAGATAAGGTAAGAGGATGCAGCCTTGTCTGACCCCTTTGCCAATTGAGAACCATTCTATTCTGACAGTAGCCTCTTGGCCTGAGTACATCCTCATCATAACTATCAGATGTGTTGACACTCCCATATCTTTAAGGGTGTTCCATAGCCTTTCATGATCTATGCAGTCTAAGGCTTTGCTATAGTCTATAAATCATATGCTGATTTTCTTTTGGAATTCCCTGGTGTATTCCATTAGCAATGTGATCCCTGGTGCCCCTTCCTTTCCTGAATCCTGCTTGGACCTCTGGGATTTCTCTCTCCATGTATGGTTGGAGTCTATATTGCAGAATTTTGAGCATAATTTTGCTTGCATGGGAGATCAGTGCTATGGTTCTATAGTTGCTGCAGTCTCTTGTGTCTCCCTTTTTGTGATGAGGATCTATATTGATTGCTTCCAATCTGTTGGCCATCATTTTGTTTTCCATATCTGTTGACATATGTTGATTAGCACTAAAGTTGACTCTATCAATGTGAATTGCAGCAATTCAATTGGAATATCATCTGTTCCTGGTGATTCCTTACCCCCCC